TTCTGCAAGTCTTGGAACAAGAGCTTTGGCGAGGAAACAGCGCCGTACAAGTTCCACACCACAACGTGAGTGTTTGGGAACTTGTTGCTGTTAGGGCACTTGGTGACAAGCCCAATGGCATCGTATAAGTCTTCGTGCTTCTCTGAGTAGGCGGCGGATAAAGGATTGAATTCCCGGCGCCACTTAAGGGTGACAATTAACTGAGCTTCGGCAGCAGGCACGTCGTAAGCGTTAGCTTTGAGGAACTTGAGAACAATTTCATCACGGATATCTTCCTGGAGGCGTTCGCCAGAAAGCTGGTAGCCATACAATTCGTCGTAGTTATCTGCGTTAGTGATGATTTCGGGGAGCTTTTCAAGGAGTTCTTGAAGGCTGGCCTGCTCAGCCTCGGTTAGGGTAGTGGATTGGATCATAACGGTAACAAGGTGTGGATATGTTCTAGCAGAAGAATTTTCAGTTATGAAAGTATAATGAACTGATTAACTGGGAAATTTATACTCGGTGGGTCCCAGGCGACTTAAAAATATTTAAAGGTGACGCAGGCCATCGGAAAGGCATGCAAACTTTTTTCCAGGGTCTACGTGTCCATTCGATACGGAGTCACCGACTGTGGCCGTAAGCATGAGATATTGGAGTGAAAAAAAAAAAGACAAAACCAAAAGGCTATGATATAAGTTATACCTCCACTACCTCTATTTTACGGTATATAACGAAAAGTTAAGCAATGAGTCGGCGATTAGGAAGAAGCTTTTCAACCTGTGAGGCTGATACGTGGCACTATGTCCGATATCACCTCGCATTTGACATGCACCTTAAATTACCATGCGCCTACAAATATGCATAAATAATTTTACAAGCAGGGTATTATCCAAGTAAAGCTAGAAATATGCATAGATGTAAAACATAGAAAATGTAATACATGCCTTATCTTGTAACTTAGGGCGCTCACCACAATTGTATATCCCTATTGAAAGAAGCTTCTAAACGACTTACTCAACATCGAGAAAATCCTTTTGGAGTAACACTTGGGCGTACTGTGGAACCACAACATCCTTGCTCATCACGTTCTGCAGCTGGAGATCGGAGTTTTTGGCCTCACCTCCGTACTTTTCTGGCAAATCCTTGCTGCTCAACCACTCCGAGACATCGCCTCCGCTTAGCATGTGGAATTTCAGCACTGTTTCCTTGGCCACAAACTTATTCACCAAGGCATAGACCCAGCTGACGACTGTTGGAACATTGAGGAAAAACTTGAGTGACAAAATCTCGGGATAGTTCTGTTGGAACGTTGCTATAACCTCCTTGGTCCCTTTCTTCATGTCTCCGTCTACGCGGAGGAAGCTCACCTTCTCGTAGTCGTGGATCTGGACCATCTGGTTGCTGTCCTTGTATGTAAAGTCCAAGAGCGATACGGTCCGCTCCATAGCCCCGACTCTCCATCTCATAAACTTCTGCAAGTCTTGGAACAAGAGCTTTGGCGAGGAAACAGCGCCGTACAAGTTCCACACCACAACGTGAGTGTTTGGGAACTTGTTGCTGTTAGG